GGAACCGAACCACGGATTCAAAAAACCAATCCAAACCTATCGAATTGGACTGGATTGGATCGGATTACGGATTTCACGGATTCCTTGCTCAGCCCTAAAATAGATGCGTGGAAATAGAATTTCCCAGAGAAAATGGCAAGTTCATTATTGTCTTTTCAAAAATCAAATTATCACCTTTTTAAGAAGAAAAAAAAAAATTAATAGAAGAGCATTTTTGTTATTTCAGTAATGTTGTTAACACCATTTACTCAACAATTTTTATAAGGAAATGCAGCATAATTTCAAGAACCAATAAGATACTGTTATAATTGTCATAAAGATGGTATAATTAACCTATTAAATTTTTATTTTTTTTAAAATTGGAAAGAAAATTTTTATTGCAAAATCAATAAAAAATTCGGATCAATCTCGTACAATGGTAGCAAAAGATCACATAAAAAGATAATAAACTTCTATAGGAGGAAATTTATAATTTCGTTTTAATTTTTTTCCCTAGTTAAAAAAACTGAAACAATACAAAATCATATTAAATCAAATCTATAAGGTGGGAAATGTATTTAATAGTATTAGAACAATGTTTCACATCACTTGACTTGTAATATTTATTTTATTGTACCATAAAAACTATGAATTATTATTTAAATCAATAAAAATAAAGTTAAGACAACACATGATCTTGTCACATGAGCACTAAATAATCTTTCATAAGGTGCACCTCTTAACTTTATGTTTATAATTGATCTAACAAATAGGATTGTAACCTGAGTCGTGTAATAGATAATTCAAATTTAGTTTATGAACTTAATAAATTTCAAAATCTATTTACATTTGACTTATTTATATAACAAGTTGATCTCAGACGATAGTTGAACATGAGTCGAGTCTGATAACTTGATTTTTTTTATAATGTATATGAGAATATCGAACCAAAAAGAGATTGTTCGAAATAAATTTTAAAACTTTAATTGGCAATAGGCTTTTTTGGCTTTTAGGGCTAAAATAGTATTAAAAGATAAAATAGAGTAAAATAATTAATAAAATAAAATGTTATATCAAATTCATAATTATTTTATTTTTTCTCTCATAAACATCATATCTAACTATAAAAAAATTCAACCATCTTCCCAAATATAATTACTTTAACTTACTAAAATAATCAAAAATTAAAATAACCTCTTGAAATAGTTAATTTTGCAAACACCCCAGGTTTAAAATTGAAGTTTTTAAATTATTTCCTTTTGAGCCCTCTATCCCTATTTATGACGACACGTGACAATATCACACTCGCAACATAGGCTTGTGGACCCCATATTTGGTTTTCATTTTTTAAAAACAGTTTTCAAAAAATTCTACACTTTTATTTTTCGTGTTTTTTTGTTTTTACTGAGGTTAAGTTTGGCTATCCTAAATAAGTACACACTTTTTATCTTTTTATTTTTTTCCATCACATCATTTCTTTACTTTTCTGCACATCTTTTTGTAAAAGACAAAAAGTGTACTTATTTAGGTCATTCCAAACAACCCCTGAATTTTTTAAATATTTTATGCAAATTTTTTACTTTTTAGACACACTTAACATAAATATACCTAAAAAGTAAAAAAAAATTGTAAAAAAAATCTTTTAAAAATTCACCAAATACCAAAAATATAAAAAATATATAAGAATTTAGTACATTTTTTGTATTTTTCTATATTTCTTAATTTTTTAAAATATTTTTTCACAATTTTTTTACTTTTTAGACACATCTAAGTAAGGTGCATCTAAAAAAGTAAAAAAAAATGTTTAAAATTTTAAAAATATTCACTAAAAATAAAAAAACATGAAAATTAAAAAACTCAGTTTTCAAAAAATTTAATCCCAAAAATTCAAACCAAACACAGTGATAAGTTCTAACATTTTTATTAAATAAATGACTAAATGTCTCACATGAATGTGGGGTTCACAAAATTACGGACCCCACATTTATTTGGTAGAAAATTTAGTATCCTTAACATTATCTCATCTTGTGTACTATGTCAATGGCTTGAGCAGTCGGATTTGTGGGATTTGTTCAATATATTATTTTTATAAAAAATTAATTCAATCAGATATTGATAAGTGTCAATTTAAATTATATCTATCCTAAAAAAATAGACAATTAACCTTTTCTAAAAAAATGACTGTTTATTTTTTTTTAAACAAATATTATTTGAACCGATAACTAAGGATATCTAACCAAGTTATTCTTTTACGACAATGATTTACTCAATAAACTTCATAAATCGAACGGCTCAAACCATTGACATAGCACTCAAAATGAGAGTAAGGCCAAGTTTGGGAAGTGTAAAAAAAGTTAAAAAATTAAAAAGTTACTCAAAAAGTTAAAAAGTTATCACTATTCATCAAAAGTCAAAAATTACGACTGCACAACTCCCAATTCTAATTTTTCCTTACACACTAATTTATACAATTTTTTAATACACATTTTTCTATAAAAAGTCAAAAAGTTAACCTAAACATCCATATTTTTTTTCTCAATTTTTTAATCTAAAAAAATAAAAAATACACTTATTTAAGACACTCCAAACAATCCGTAAGTAACATAAAATAGGAACACAATCCTTTCACAATGAGTGAGGTCCACATTCCCTATGTGTAAGCTCCACTCCTTATGAGAAAACTATGGCCCGCTGAGCACATTTGTTTAAATTATGACCCGTTGAGTACGTTGGTTTGAAGGGATAGAGGTGTGGGACAGAAATCTGAGGATAAGCTCAGGATTGAGATTATTCTAAACTTATTGAAATAAAATTAAAATCTCAATTACAATAAAATTAAAATAAAAAATAAAATTTATATAATTTTAGTAAATTAAAAATAAAATTAAAAAATCTCAATTAAAAATTAAAATAAATTTATATAATTTTTTATTGATATTCTATTTATTTAATTTTTTAAGAGTTAATAGTAAAAAAATTAAATAAAATATGACACACTTCAGATTCAATAGAATAGTTCAATCAAAACATCTAATCTTATGACTAAAAAAACATAAGATTTAATAGAATGGTCAAATCTAAATATCTAATTCCATGACTAAAGAAACATAAGATACAAATTCAATCCAACTTCATAAACAATATATCTCAAAATTAACAGTCTCATATATTACAATTATCTTTTATTTAGTCCGCTCAAACAACTACACCTATAATATAATTAGTTATATTTGACATGGATAGGCCCACAAGGCACACGGCCCACGGTAAACCACCCCGAACCCAGTGCTTGGGGCCAATGGCACAACCCGGTTGCTTGGATGACAAGGCCCAGAACAGCTGGAGGCCACCTAGACATGAAGGGCCAACGGCATTTAGGCACACGGCAGGTGGGACACGGGCCACATCAGCAGACAAAGATCTGCAGAGTTATTATCACAACACATCACCATTAATGCAACCCATCACAGCATTTATTACAACAGCACTCCCCGCCGGAACAGAGCCTCCATCACCCTAAACAAGATGAGCTATGGCACAGGCTTTCGGCGGAAAAAGCACGTCACAAGAGACAGGAAAAATGATGACCAAAGGATATAAGCAAGGATAAGAGGAAGAAAAAGGAGGTTAGGTTGCTCTCTCTCTTGATCTCTCGATATACAGTCTTTTCATACTCTGCTCTTCTAATTCTTGCACCGGAGGGTTCACTGGGGGACTACCCCGTTCCCCCCCCTGAACTTGCTTGCAGGTCATCTGACGGAGCCAGCCTTCCTGAGCCGGATTCTGGAGAACCTGGGCCGGTCCGACCCATCCACCCGGGAATCGATACATCATCAATATTTAAAAAAAATTAAAAAATGTGTAATTAGGAATTTATTTGGGATGATCTAAATAAGTATACTTTTTAACTTTTTATAAAATATGAATTGTGAGAGAAAAATTTATATCTAAATTGGGTCGAGTTGAGTAGTGAGCCGTTGTGGGCCACGGTAAGAAGGGCTGAGTATAAAGGCCTTGGAGTTAGCCTGGTCCAAGATGGCCTTCAACTAAGTCCGATCCAAGAGAGCTTTGCACTTAGCTCGGTCGCCACGCTCAGAGTTAGCCCGGTCATGGTGTATTATTGTTAGCTCGGTCAGAACCTTGCTATTAGTTAGCTCGGTCTAAGCACACCATAGACTGTACAAGGGAAACCGAGGTAAGAGCAGTGGAAGGAAGAACCAAACTAGGCATAGTTTGGTCTACTCTGCGGCTTAGCATGGCCCTGTTTACCTTGGTCATATTGAAATCCGACTATGGTAAAACCATCTCACTTGGTTTAAGCAGTGAGGGGTGTTGAGAGATAAGCATTATCTTTTAAGAATGTGATTCCTAGGAGGACTCTATATGGAGGAGTAAGAGTTCTACTAGGATTGTGCCATATGGAACTTATAAAAACTCACAACATCACCTATAGAGAGATAACACAACTTTGATTCTCGATATGCACAGAGTTTTTGTCTATTTGTCTATTTTGCTGACTTAGGCATCGGAGAGGTATTCGGCACACACCCGCTGGCTAGCTCACGTTTGCATTTTTAGAGAGTAAAGCGATGACTAGCTCACGTTTGTGTTTTTAGGGAGTAAAGCGATGGCTAGCTCACGTTTGTGTTTTTAGGGAGTAAAGCGATGGCTAGCTCACGTTTATGTTTTTATGAAGTAAAGCGACGTCGTACAGAGGAGTGCAGACTTGATTAACAGGATTATACGAAAAGATTTATTTCTTTCCTGTACAAATTAAATTTAAAATGATGTGATTAAGAAATGATATAACTTAAATAGAATAATAACTTCTTAAATTTTTGACTTTTTAAAATTATTACAAATAAGACCTTAGTTCATATCGAGAAGCCCAACAGCAGCAAATACACGAAAAAGCGTAACCTCCACGTGTCAACATGCGTCGCCTCTATTGCACTATAAATATACGCTCATCAGGCTCTCTCTCCTCACTCTCTCACTCTCACTCTCACTCTTCCCTCACTGCTCCATCGAGTTGCGGAGAATGTAGACAGAGAAAGAGAGAGTATGCAATCACTGCAGCAGAAGGCATCGGAGTTGAGCGGCGTTGATCGGAGCGACGCTTTCGCCATTGACGACACCAATCTCTTTCAGAAGCTCGGTCTCGAGACCTTCATTAAGCTTTCTACCAATTTCTGTACCAGGTATATAATATATATATGCATTCAATTCTTTTGTTCCTCTTTTTATCTTGCAATCCAATGTTAGATGCCAATTGAAAAAACAGTGAAAACTTCACTTCAATTAAGTAAAATTTTGGTTTCTATGATATTGGAATCGAGTTACTGAAAAATATAATTAGGCTTTGGTTTAGTTTTAGTTTTATAATTATGATTTGAGGGTGGAATTATGATTTATATCAATGATCCATCACTCTAAAACTAGAGCTCTAGGGAAGGTGAAAACTAAAAAATAAAAATAAAAAATAAAAAAATAAATAAAAAGAAGACATGGCCAAAACATTACATCAGCTGGCCCTTGTATACATTAGAACTATTAGAGCTTACAAATTAAAGCTCTAAAACATTTTTCTATGATTTAAGTGTAAAATTGTAAAATGAGAATTGAAAAGAAAAAATTATTTAGTTATGAGTCTTGGAAGAAAAAAAAAAAATTGAATTTTGAAAAAAAATTTGAGTTATATTTTGAAATTTTTTGGATTTATTATTTTAAAATTTTAAAAAATGTTTAAGAAAATTTTATTTTTTTATTTTAAATATACAATTTTTATTTAAATGTTTTATTTTATTTTATAAAAATTTTAATTTTTTAAATTTTAATATGTTAAACTCAAAACACAATCCTACATTCAAATCGTAACTAAATATATAACTTAAAATTCAATTCAAAAACTATTTTTAAAATTCATAATCAAACACATAATTTGAAATTTCATATTACTTTCAAAATTCTACACTCAAATCATAACCAAACACATAAAAAAAAAAAAATTAAAATATTTTAAAATAAAATAAATTTTTAATACTTTAAAAAAAATATTGCACACAAATGTATGATATATAGTGCACATTAAAATAAATAAATAAATATTTAAAATATAAAATATTTACCTAACAAAAATAAAATTAAGAAAATATTTAAATATTTTTAAAAAATCTAAAAAATTTCAAAATACAACTCAAATTTTTTTTTTTCAAAACTCATAAACAAACAAATTTTTTCTTTTCAAAGCTCAAACTACGTCTCTACACTCAAATCTTGATTCTAAAAATAAATTTAAAAAACAAAGTAAAAAAATATATTTTTGAATTTTTTTTAAATAGAGTTTTGAAAAAAAATTTAAATTAAGTTTTGAGTTGTTTACTCGATTATGAGTTTTGAAAATAATTTTTTAATTGAATTTTGAGTAATTTTGAATTGTGCGTTTAGTTATCAGTTTTGAATTTTTTTGATTGAAATCATAATTCGAAAAGAGAGCCAGACGCATCCTAGATTTTTTTTCTCAGTGGCCAAACAGAGAATTTGTTCTTAGATTACTGATTCTTAGATTCATTCGGCAATGTATACATCACACAGACCCCTAATTTCTTTGCGTCCAAACAGGGCATGATTCATTTACGTTGTTTACATTCGTTTGGTCTAGTTTGAGCTGAATCTAAAGGTGTATTTTTTATTTTTATTTTTTTTAAATGACTAGGGTTTATGACGATGAAGAGGAGCGGTTTCAGTCAATTTTTGCAAATTCGAAGAAAGAAGACGCTATTCGGAATCAATACAAGTTATTGGTGCAGAGAATGAGAGGGCCTCCCCTGTATTCACAGAGAAAGGGTAGAGACTCTGACTTTACTTTCTGTTTCTAGAATTGTTTGTATCTTAGACTTGTTGTAGGAGTCTTGTGAAGACAAAGTAAAGGAAAAGGGAGAAATGAATGAAATATAGCAAAATTTTTTGTTCACAAATCCATCTATAAGTCCAATATCCAATCATAACTTTTTTACTATTAAGTAAAACTGAACACAATGGATGAGCTTTAAAAATCATGAGAATATTTTACATAAACACTGTGTTGCTTGCTATTAATGAACAATCATTTTGTGCACAACTAGTACAATATGTAGTGTGTTCAAACTGATAAGAGCTTTCTCAGGTGCTCAATCAACTTTACAAAGCCTTGACAATGAAGTACTTATTAATGGGACTCTTGATTTTGCTCTATCATCGAGGTTGGTGCATCCAAATTATAGATTAATTCTGAAATTAATTACAATAAATTCATACCATCTGCTATTTTCTCATTTTTGAAAGAACAAATTTCATATATAATTTATTTAATTGTGATTCGCTGCAGGTCACCCTGCTCTGATTGGACACCACAGCCCGTTTCCTGTTACTCACCAAACTGCTAAGAGGTGGTTGCATCACATGCAACAAGCATTGGACGGCATGACAGACATTGATGCAGACTCGAAAATCAAAATGATGAACTTTTTTAGGTACATATTTTCACAATTCATTTCTTTGTCTCTACACTTAATCTTTATTTGTATAAAATGCATGACATATTGTGTGCATCATCTTTTCGCTATTCAGGCACACTGCATTCTTTCTTGTGGCTGGAGATAAGTTGAAAAATTCAAATCAAGGAGTTCCTTTTACGGATGGCACCGACAGACCAGCTGCAACGCAAGGGGATTTCACCCTGGCAAAGGGTTATACGGCCATTTGAGTACTCGTAAAAGTGATCGCCAATAGTAGGGGAGCGTTTCCAACACCAACCTATACCCTGGAAGAATTTTATGACACTGCTCTGCTCTCCACCCCAGTGTCATAAAATTCTTCCCGGATAAAATTTGGCAGTGGAAAAGCACCCATACCATTGACGATCACGATTACGAGTCCTTAAATGGTCGCATAATCCTCTGGCAGACCGAAATCCCCTCATACATACACACCGGCAAACCAGCTGCAGTGTAAGGGGATTTGACTCCAATAGAGGGTTATACGACCATTTGAGTACTCATAATAGTGATCGCCAATAGCAGGGGAGCGTTTCCAACACCAACCTATGCCCCAAAAGAATTTTATGACACTACAATGTTCCCTATCCCAGTGCCATAAAATTATTCCTAAGAAAATTTTGGTGGTGGAAGCACTCCCCTGCCATTGACGATCACGATTATAAGTCCTTAAAGGGCCGCATAATCCTCTGGCAGACCAAAATCTCCTCCTACATGCCATGCAAATGCGTGCTTTTCATATGGAAAGGAAATGATTTTAGATACTTTATTTAGAACTCTTTGATCTTAGTAGTTGTGTGCAAGGAACGTATAGTCTTGAATTGTTTGATCAAATAATCTTGAAAATGTAAGGTTCTTGACATTTACATTAGTTCAACGAGAAAGTTAAAGGCAAGCATTTCTTTGAATTCTCATGCTTCTTCATTGCTGTGGTCTGGATATTGATTTTTAAGTGCATGAAATTTGATAGTGGACTTCTATATATTTTATATGAATTTGTGATATCTCACACACAAATAATTGAATGAATTTTATTTCAAGCATAAGAACAATCACAATCTATGGGTTTTTATCTCCCACATCTCTATCTCTCAAACCTCTGATGGGTTTTTGATTATATGATTGATTTCTATAACAACAACCTAAACCATCTATCAATAGGTTTCGAATTTGTGTATTAAACGTGTATTGAATTCCATAGCTTAAGTGCTAAGCTTCTTACCTGGTTCCAGCTCATGGTTGATGGTAGCTTCCATGAAGCTTCTTCTTCTTCAAACTTCTCTTCTTCCATCTTCAGGCAGCTTGTGCAGAGAGGTGGAAGAATCACGTTTATTCTCCAACATCCCCCCTTAGACTTGAATCACCAAATAAGGTAATTTCGAGTATTCTTCGTAGCTTTACAAATGTTGTTGTTTTGAGAGGCTTTGTAAATATGTCTGCAACTTGATCTTCACTTTTCATGTATATCAACAGAATCTCTTATTTTCTTATGCATTCTCGTATGGAATGAAATCTCGTGTTGATATGCTTGCTTCTATCATAGAAGACTGGATTCTTTCATAACTGGATTGTTAACTTGTTATTCATGTATATCTCTGTGGCTTCTTGTTGTGGTTCTTGAATTTCTTTCAGCAAATTTCTTAACCAGATAGCATGACATGCTCTTGCAGCAATAGCTACGTACTCTGCTTCACATGTTGATAGAGTTACTATCGATTGTTTATTTGAGGACCACGTAAAAGCAGCATCTCTGAGATAAAACACAAACTTGATAGTACTTTTACGATCATCCACATCTCCTGCCCCAGTTATTGTCATTGTATCCTACTAATTTGGACCTTTTCTGTCAATGAGTAAAACAATTCGTACTCTATTGTACCTTTCATATACCGTAGGATTCTTTTGACTACTTTCAGATGTGGCGTCTTGGGTTCCTTCATATATCAACTGACTAAGCCTATTGCGAACAATATATCAGGTCGTGTGGCTGTGAGATATCTTAGGCTTCCAACTATATATGTTGGATTAACCTTATCTCCTTTATCATACTTTGACATCTTGTTACTTCCATTTGTCGGTGTGTCGACAACTTGACAATTTTCTATGCCAAACTTCTTTATGATCTTTGGCATACTTAGCTTGTGAGATGAAAATGCTTGCATTACTTTGCTTGACTTTTATGCTGAAGAAATATGCCATGAGTCCGATGTTTGTCATCTCGAACTCTTGTATTATGGATGTTTTGAAATCTCGGATCATGTTGAGATGGTGCCTGTGAATATTAGATCATCGACGTAACGACAAACAAATAGCGAATCTCCCCCCTTGTTTGTCTTGAAGTATAAGGAATGTTCATAAGGACATTTAACAAATCTATTTGCAACAAAATACTTGTCGATTCTTGCCTTCCATGCCCGTGGTGCTTACTTCAAGCCATAAAGTGCTCGTTTTAACTTATATACTTTATCTTGTTGATCTAGCTTCACATAGCCTAACGGTTGTTCAAGATAACCATTTAAGAATGTTGATTTGACATTCATTTGGTATATCTTCCATTTTTTCTGGATTGCTAAAGAGATAAAAAGTCATACCTTTTCTAGACATGCTACTGGAGCAAAAACTTCATCATAGTTGATACCAAAACCAAAATTAAAGTGAAGCATTTCTAAGTTCTTATGCTTCTGCATTGCAGTCATTTTGGAAAAAAGGTTTTGGGTGCTGGACAAGGTCATTACCTTTTACCAAACACAAATACTTAGACTACGTTTGGTTCATGGATTTGAAGAGAGATTTGAAAAATAAAAAGAAAAAAGAGATGGTATGTGAAATGTAGTTATGATATTTTACACATATTTCACCTATTTTTTTTTTCTTTCCAATTCGCTTCTTAAATTTATAAATCAAACATAACGTTGTTCTCTCTATGCACAAAAGCGGTTTGGACATGGATTCAGGAAACTGACTAATGTGACAAATATTGCTTGGGTGGCTAATGTGACAAATATTGCTTGGGTGGCTAATGTGACAAATATTGCTTGGATGGCCGGAGACGAGTCAAGGAGGGAGTTGTCAGAGGTCAAGGAGAGTAGTTGGGAGAAGGAGAGCGAGAAGGGATAAAATTGCACAAAACACGTCCGGTTACTTTGCACAAAAATTGTGACGGTGCATGAGGTTATTTACAAATCACAACTTGATTATAAAGTTGTTCTAAGTGACAAGAGACACCTAGGTCATGTTTGGTTTGATTTCATAAACTTGGTTCATAATTTTATTATTTGTTTTAAATTAAAAATTAAATTGACGAAAGAAATAAAAAAAATCAAATACTTATCATTTTTATATAATTTTATTTTTGAGAAGGTCAAAAATAAATTTTAAAATTTTAAAAATACATTTTTAATATTTATTTTTGTCAAATTAATATTTATTTTTTTAAAAAAAATCTGTAATTATTTTAGAAAAAACAAACCAAACAACACCATAGTTATACTATTTGTTTGGTATTTAATTATGAGTTTAATAAAGTGAACTTGGAGATAGAGGTACAGCAATCTGTTGTTTAATGAACAAATTCATCATCACGATTTCATTAATATTAAATGGAGTAATTCTACTCATAATTTTATCCAAAAACATGTCGGGCACGTTTGGTTATGGTATGCAACTTACACCTTACACCTTATACCTTACACTTACACCTTACACTTACACCTTTTGTAAAAAATTAAACCTTACACTTACACCTTTTTTGAGGTTGCACACCATGTGCAACCCACTTACACCTTACACCTTACACTTACACCTTACACTTACACCTTATACTTATACTTACACCTTACACTTACACTTTTTATGTAAGTGGCACATGGTGTGCACTTGCACACTTAAGAAAAGTCCTTACTTTAATTATGGATTCTACAATACATCAATTTAAAATTAGAGAACACACTCCTGCCACGTGTATTCCTAAGTTATGTCGTTTTTTTTCTTTATATAGTTATGATATTATTTTAATTATAATTTATGAGATCTTCGTTATATTTCATATATTGTTTGGTTATAATTTTTTAAATTATAATTTTAAAAATATAAAATTCGATCGCGATTGGTAGCTCGAGATTTTTGGCTCGAAATTGGCTCGAAAAAGTGAGAGAGAAGGAGGAGGAGGAGGGAGAGGCTGGAGGAGGGGCGGAGGAGGAGGAGGGACTAGAGGGGGCCAACATATCGGGGTGGAGGCGGAGGCGGGGGGCGGGGGGGGAGGAGGGTTGGAGACTGCCTTCTCTCTCTCTCTCTCTCTCTCTCTCTCTCTCTCTCCCTCTCCCTCTCCCTCTCCCTCTCATCTTCCTCTGTTTCAGACCAGCATGAAGAAGAAGAAGAAGAAGAAAAAAATCGTTTTGGGCTGTCAAGCCAAAATCGAGCCACGAATTTCGAGCTATCAGTCATTTTCGTATAAAATTATAGTATTTTTTTCTTTAATCTTTCCTTTAATATTATATATCCTAGCCACACATTACGGTTTCGTTTGTCAATTATATATTTTAATCAAAAAATAAAAGTTACAATAAGTTGTTAATTACTCTCTATATTTTTCTACACATCTTTTTGTAAAAAGTTAAAAAGTTACTAGGCATTGTTTGGGAAGTGGGTTTGGGGCTAAAATAGTCACAAAAAACAAAATAGGCTTTTTAGCTGTAATAAGACAAAATATCACATCTAACTCATAATCATTACATTATTTCTCTCATAAAAAAACTGAAAAAATAAAAAATCCTTCAAAATTTTTTTACCTCAAACTACAATAACCAAGAAAATTAAAAAGTCAAACCACTTTTCAAACTAAGCCTAACACATCTTCTTCCGAAATGAGGCCGTTTCTGGTTGTTTTCCTAGTCCCAAAAATTGGGACAACAGACTTTTTCTATTAAGAAAAATGCTTGGGAGCACTAATTAGTGCTCCCACTAATTAGGTGGTAGTGGGTCCCGCCATTAATGATGTGATGTTTTGGTCTTGGAGTTGTGTTTTTTTTTACTTTTTTAATGCATTAGTGCTATTAGTGGCGATGTTTTTAGTGGGATGAATCATTGTTGTTCTATTAAATGTGGGGTTGAATTTTTAATTATTTTTTTTACTATTTTAATTTAGATCTAAAAAATCTCGTTTCGAATGAATTTTCTTATTTTTTAAAATTTTCTGAGAGCAAAAATAAAATGACTATAATTTAAATGTGATATTTTTTAGCCTGTACCTAAAAAGTTTATTTTATTTTTTATGACTATTTTAGGCCCAATCCACCCCAACCATATATGCCAAACCAGTGCATGGTTAGAGTAGGTAAATTAACATTTTGGGAAGTGAGTTGATTTTTTTGATTATTTTAATATGAAATAAAAAGTCTTGTTTATGATAGATTTTTTGGCTTTTTAATTTTTGTGAGAGAAAAATTAAAATTATTATGATTTGAATGTAATATTTTGTCTTATTAATTTTTTAATTTATTTTGTCATTATGTGGCTATTTTGGCCCCAACCTATGATACCAAATGAAGTCTCTATTTGTTTTGACATAAAGAAGGTGGTTTGAATGATTTAAATAAATATGCTTTTTAACTTTTTATGAAAAAAAATATTTAAAAAAACATAAAAAGATGATATGACTCAAAAAATATAAAAAGAAAAAAAATAAAAATAAAATAGGAGATGCTAAATAGTACCTTATTTATCTCTGTAAGAAAAAGTTATTTTTCCCAAAATTTTTATTATTTATATTTAATTATAATTTTAAAATTGGATCAAATTAGTAGAAGGTGACGGTGATAGCGACAGCGATAGCGGTAACGGTGACAGAGATAGTAAAGTGGTAGTTGTGATTGTGGAGTCGGTGATGTCAATAAAATTTTAGTTTTAAATAATATTTGTGACCTTTTTAAAAAAAAATAAAAATAAAACTCAAATACATTAATTTTATAAAAAAAAAATGTAAAAACAGAAACAATTCTGCTGCCGAGAGTTGAACCCGGATGACATATTGATAACCATTCCATGTGTGCTACAGCGGATCTGATATCTAAAACTATAGTAATACTATTTTGTATGTTATCTTTTATGTTAAAGCCAAAAATTTAATAACAATTCTACTAAATTCATTTATCTGCAATGTTACACTTAGGTTTCGTTTGGGAACCCTTTATTTTAGTCAAAAAGTCAAAAAATTAAATTAGTCAAAAAGTCAACAACCCATACCAAAAAATCAAAGATTTTCTTTTCTCTCTACTTTTTGTACATCTTTTCATAAAAAGTCAAAAAGTCATCCCAAACATACTAGTTTTTTTTAGCTCATATTTTAGGCAAATAGCCAAAAAGTTACTAAATTATCCTATTCCCAAACGAGGCCTTAGTAATATCAAAATTTGAGGAAAGTTCTATTTATATTTGTTTATATACACCTAATTTAAATATAATTTAAAATTATAATATTTATGAAAAAAAGATTTTTATACAAAATTTTATAATTTTATGTATATCAAAATTAAATGGATCTAAAAAGTTTAAAAGTTTTATTTAAATTAAAAAAATTACTAAAAATATAAAAATATAAATTAAAAACTCATAAATTTATTTTTTAAAACTTTAAATCGCACAGAGTGAATGCTTTTATAGACCTACATCATATCTTTATTTTGTGAATCTACCTATTTATTATGAATAATACTATATGCACTAATTAATACATTAACTAGTATATCATGAATTTATGATATGACGTAATTTAAGAGATTTTAGATATTTATAATTTGTATAATAAGTAGAGGCAATAATAATGTCATAACTAGTATTGACATACTAGTTAGTATACTAATTGGCGCATGTAGTACCACCAATTTATTATATTTATAATTTATTTTTTGGGTTCACCTTGTTAGTTGTTACAAAAAAAAGAGTATATTTTGGGAATTTTAAGTTTTAGGATTGTTTTATGACTTTTTTCTTATTATGAAAATATGGATAAAAAAAATAGAGAGGTGATGTGATAAAAATAAACTAATAAACAACTTATTTGAGTTATTTCCAAAAGGGGTCTTAGTCAAAAAATTAAAAGCTATTACAAATTTTTTTCTCTATTTTTCTGACATAGTTTTTCGAAAAAAATTTAAAGTCACTGATTTTTTTTTTTTTTTATCAAAACAACCTAAAATAGGGCATTAATTGAAATTATTGTTTTCTCTCTTTATGTTGAACATAATTATAGTATGCTTTTATAATTTGTTTAATATTTTACTATCTTATAACCTATTAGGACCCTTATCTACAGTGACTATTTAGAAATTATATTAGATTGTACTAAATTTTAAAAGGATAAATTATTTACAGTGACGTTTTGTTAGAATTTTTTATTTAACAGAATTAATTAAAAATATAAAATTCATAATTACTCTTATGTATAATAATAAAATTACTTAAATTATTACTTAAAACATATTTCTAACATCATTAAAAACTGTTAGTTGATTTCATGATTTGTTAATAAAAAGGACAATTTGTTATAAAATAAGAAACCTCAAAAGAGTGGAATATAATTTTTAAAACTATAAGGAGCGATTCGTATTTTAATTAAATCTTAGAGGATATATTTATAGTTTACCCATTTTAAAATTACGATGATACTTCTCCAATTAAATAATATATATTTCATTAAATATAATAATAATAAAAATAAAATTTATTTTTTTACTTATTCATCTCGCATCTTTAATCTTTTTAACTTGGATAATGTTAGAGGTATCAAATTTTCTACCAAATGACCAAATGTCTTACATGGGCGTGAGGTCCGCAATTTTGTAGATTCCACACACATTTGGTCATTTGTTTGGTATAAAATTTGGGACCTATAGCATTTTCCTTTTAACCCTTTGATGTCAAAGTAATTGATATTAGAGCTCGTTTGTGATGTGGATTGATTTTTTAGCTTTTTAACTTTTTTTAGTTATTTTAGTCTGGACTAAAAAATCTTATTTTGGATAGACTTTTTGATTTTTTTGACTTTTGTGAGAAAAAAATAAAATGATTATGGATTAGATGTAACATTTTGTCTTATTTAGCTAAAATAACCTATTGTGTCTTATGTGGCTATTTTAGCCCAAACTTACTTGCCAAACAAACCCTTAGGTTTAACTCATAGGTTAATTTTCTTACAATTTTAAAAACAAAAGAAATAAAATATTCAGGTAAATTGGAGGGTGCCCGAGCCAAAATATGAGAAAGATAAAGGGTACCACTGCAAGACAATTATCTTCTTCGGCGGTATTCACAGGGATTCAAATGAAAACCGCGAAAGCTCTTCAAGGCACGAGAAAGGGTTAGCGATTCGCCTGAAAATCAAGGTCGGTCGGTCATGGCGTCTGATTCAACTCGGTCTCGCATCGATCAGGTTTCCTTCAAATCGAAACCCTAGTTTATCTTCTCAAGATTCCCATGTTTTCAACACTCGAACTCTCTGTTTCATGTTATTTGAGGTTTATTGAACTCATATTGTTCAATATATAGGTTCCAATGTATTCAAGCGCATCTTTTTATCTATGATCTGAAATATATGATACTAATCCTGTTTGCTGTTAGTGATCTTGATCTTCGATTTGATTGTCATTCTCATTTCTCTATATCTCCTATAAAAAAATATTATTTTTTACATTGTTGATGATGATTAGGGCAACAATAATGTGTTTCTGATCGGAGACAATGTGTTTCTATTTGTTATGGATTTTAGTTTCGAAATTCTGAACTGGGTAATGCTTGAAAATAATTAGTTAGATTCAAATTATGTTCCTGATTTAATTTGTTTTTTCAATTTCACATGTTCTGTGATATATAGTTCAATCTTACTGTTGTTTCCATATGAAAGCAAATTCTGGGTATTGCTCAACTTGTAGTTCTTTTATTTATTGTCGTGTGCAGTTTTTTTCTTCAAAGAAGAAGAAGAAGAAACCTTTATCACCTGGTTTGAAGTCTAGGGGAGCCGCAAAAGATACACTTGAAGGGTCTCCTAGTTCTAAAGGTTCTTTAGACAACTATTTAGTGACTTCACAGGATGATAACTGTACTGCTAAACCTTTGTTCGCAGCTCATGTTTGTTCAGAAAGGCAAGATATTGTTAAGAGAAACCTGACTTTGGAGATTAATTCATTGTCGAAAGATGAGAATATAAATGCCTGTTTGTCAGCCCTAGAACATCCTCAAACTTCTGTAGCATATGTAGGGGCTCAAAAACAACAATCCCAGGTTCCTCCTTATGCGGGTGATGTTTCAGTCAAAGGTCTTGCAAATTCAGATTCTGCAGACACTGCTGGAAACTCCGAAATTAAGCAGTTCACGGCTGGCTTTTTGTCACTGTATTGTAGGTATGATTTTATTTTTCATGAGGCATCAATTTGTTCACAAATTTGTTAATATGATTTAGAATGATAGTTGCAAATGGTTAATTTGTTATTATCTCTACATTTATCTGCATAGAATTATTTTCGTCTATACACATTTATATCTACTTTGACCGTATCATGTAGGGATTGACTACTGTTTGTAAATTTTATTTTATGTTTTACTAATATTAGAATTTTTGTTCTCTATAACTTACAGTGAACTTCTACCAAGTGCAAGTTCACCATTAGAGCCAAAAGTGAATGCTCATAAAAGACAGGGTAGTCCATCTATGCTAGTTGCAGAGGATAAATCATCCAAGAAAAGGCATTGCATTATTGATGGGGATGAGCCAAATGCTGAGGGTGAAGCCACTTGCTCTGGTGATATGCACCCAGAACACATAGAGTCTGGTGTCATCTCAGAATCTGGAGAAGCATCTATAAACTATTCCAGAGGAGTAAACATCTATATATACAACCTTGATGTCAATTAACAAGGCACATTTCATCAATATACTGATATCTATTTTTTGGCAGACGATTGTAGGTGCTAATCCAATTGAACTTCAAGCGAGCTTGAAAAAATGTAGTAGAACAGCTGCACCATCTCTATCTGCGACAGGATGTGATACACCTGCTATAACTTCCAGAGCTCGTGAAACTCCCAAGTCTACTTGTAGAAGCTCCATTTTTTCTCCTGGAGAAGCATTCTGGAATGAAGCAATTGAAGTTGCCGACGGTTTGTTTGCAACAAATATTGACAGAGAAATTAGTACTGCGAACATGCAGTGCGAGACAAATAATTCGAACAATTTGAGAAATGCAGGTTGTGGTATTCTGTCAAACAAAATATTAGATGAAGGTGCAAGTAGAGTCGGTGGTGTGGAACTGAATGCTTCTACAGGATCAACAGGGAAGCATGGAAAGGATTTGGATGAAGAAGCATCCCCGTTGCCAGTGAAGCATTTTGACTTCTCGTTTGAGGACAAAAATTCAGATGATCTATCTGCAGATGATATGAAAGGTCTTGTGTATAGAAAAGGTGCACAAGCTGGATGTGCTTCTGTAGATAATAGAAGTCTTCAATCTGCTAATATAACAACGCATTCTCGCTTGAATGGCGCAATGCAACAACTGACATCTGGTTGTGATGTAGCTGATAGGAAAGAGGGTTTTTTGAGTCAAGATAATGATACTATTGCATCTAGTGCACTGGAAAAGGAAAAAAGAAATTGCATGGTTTTCCGTGAAGATGCTGGAGATAGTACTCCATCAAGTTTTGAACCGCTAAAAGATTGTTTAGATCTTAGCTTCTGGCTTCCTTCTGAAATATGTGCCATATATAAGAAGAAAGGAATTTCAAAATTGTATCCATGGCAGGTATTTTTCTAACTTCTGGATGAACCAACTTTCACTAAACTTCTTACACTATAAAGGAATTACTGATAGAAATAGCGCAGATTAGTTGGTGGTCCTCTCTTATCATATTCACAAAGGTTCTGGATTTTCATCATTGGGTATATGGATTGATAAATTTATTTTTGAATTGTGTTCAAGGCAAGCTGGGTTAGGAAAATTTCCATCATGTAGAGTTATATATTTTGTCATCTGTATGGTGGAGAGTAGGTGGATTTTAACAATATTCACAAAGGTTCTGGATTTTCATCATTGGGTATATGGATTGATAAATTTATTTTTGAATTGTGTTCAAGGCAAGCTGGGTTAGGAAAATTTCCATCATAGAGTTATATATTTTGTCATCTGTATGATTTTTTACTAGGAATTTTTATATTCAAATATAATTTATAATGTTTTGTTAGTTTGTTGCCAATTTTTTGGGGGGTGGGCTAAGTTTATGCTGAGGAATTGCTGTCTAGACTCTGCCCCTTAACCCACCCGCCTGCCTTGTTGCTGTCTGTAAAATGGAAGAAAGTGATCATGTTTGTGAAATATACTTTTGTTTTAATTTTTATAGATTGTTCCTGTCTTGATTAAATGTATGCTTACATGTAGTTTGTTTTTTCTGTGTGATATGTATTTGTGCTCTACCCTCCCCCCCACCAATATTAATTTCATTCATGTTATAGTGTAAACTTAGCAGCTGTTGCCAATTTTTTTATTTTATTCACTTGATTATATCCCGTTTTGTTGAAGTTTGATTTGATGTTGTGTTTGATCATGATATGATTTTTATATGACAATTTTCCAGGTTGACTTGCAAAATGATGTATTTGTTTTTATTTTTATTTTTATTTTCCATTTTTATATATATTATTTTTCTAACATTATGTTTGAAGCTGATCTTCGTGTGGTTTTTAATGTCCCCCACCCCCAATTGAAAGCTGAAATCTCATTGCACTTATCTGTTATTTTTCAGGTTGATTGCCTGCAGGTGGATGGTGTCTTACAGAAAAGGAATCTCGTATATTGTGCATCTACTAGGTATTCTTATAGATGGAATTGAAGTTCATATTTATGTTAGACAGGTCTTTAATATATTGCTCTGGTTTCAAAAAGCTTCTCTATAGTGGTAATAGGGGGGAAAGGTTCTATTACTCCACTACGAGGAATTGCATTGTGAAATCTATTCTCTTATTCCCTCTAGCTTGTTTCATCTGGTACTACTTTATGGTCTTTCATTTCAACCTTCATAGTCCAAAATAAAGGGGGTGTTTGGGAACCAAAAGTTGTGGCTAAAATAGCCTCCAATACAAAAAAAGTCTTTTGGCCCCACTCTAACCCATTGATTTAAAAATAAAATAAAATATAGCACTCCGTGGTTTCAGCCTACACTGTCAACGTGACAGTGTAGGGACAAGTAGTGACAGCCCATCATTTCAGAAGTAGATGACAATTTTGCCCCTTTAGACCTATTTTGGAAAAAATGAGGTTAGGGACAAATTTGTCATTTTAGCTTCAAACATCATTTCAAACACATTTTTCAATACACAACTCAAATAAAAATCCATCCTATCTTTCTGAACACAAAAACTAAAATAGCCTACTTAAATAGCCAAAATGCCAAAAAGCCTCCAAAATAGTCACTTCCCAAACACCCACAAACCAATCTGACAAAGAAATTGCTCTTTTTTTTTTTTTGGATGGATTGTATTCACTATCCAATCCATGGACTGGTGAGCATTTTGATTGGTTATTTTATATTTATTAGTGATGGTTATTCTTGTTGATGTTTTGTGTTCATTTTTGTTAGAGATTATTTTAGTATGTCTTACATTTCTGGAGCAGTTTCAGTTTAGAATTAATAGTTTTCTCTTGTCTTTCTTTGAAAATTCAAGTTTCATATATGCCTTGGTCTTGTCTTTGGTTACAAGTTCTTTGTTGTGGAGGAACTTCAGTTGTCTACTGTGGGTACTTGTATCAAGCTCAATACGTGGCAAGCCCTACAAGTGCCACATCACTAAAACCCCACCTACGTGGCAGACCAATAAGGCACCACGTCTGGCATGTCGTATGTTTGATACATGGCGAGCCCTATAGGCGCCATGTGCCAAGGCAACCAAAACTATATGCTTAGCCTAAGCGGGAGCATATATACAAGCCCAAATATATCTAGATATGAAGAGCCCTGCAACAGGCAGCACCATGGCCCCGCAGGGCCCATGGTCCTTCATACCTAGCTCCAAGGCCAAACAACAATACAATCAGCCCCCGGCTCACTTGTACTTAGATTGATAAACAATGGCTCTCCTAAACATTGAGATAGGCCTGCGGCCCATTCTCTTACTTGATCGCTAAGCAGGTCCCTCTCTTAAACATTGAGCTAAGCCCGCGGCCCATTCTCCTACTTGGTCACTTGGAAGCGAGCCCTTGGCTCTCTTAAACACTAAGGTGGGCCCTGGCCCATTTATCTACTTGGATGCCTGGGTTGGGAGCAGGACCCAGGCACTACTGCTCGGGATCATCAGAGGATACTGGACTGGCGGCTGAGGTCATGGGATCGTCGAGATAGTTGTCTTCTTGCTAAGACAACTCTATCTTGACCAGGCTTGGAGAAGAGGCAACAATGACCTTACGTTCATGTCATCCGATGCATATACGAAACGTTACTTTCTGCCTGCCACGAAACGTTGCTCTCCGCCTGCCGGCAAGCCACAGACGGCAGAAGGGCTTATATCACTTCTGGCAGAGTTGAGGAGAACGAGCCACCTGTCCGACAGTTTGCTTGGGTTCCAATACTCTTGCGGCCTATATAACGTATCGTATATGCAGCGAGACACAACGACAACAATACAACCAAGTCTTATGCTAAAACACTCTCTCATACTTTACATTAGTGTTCAAAGGTCTATCACTGCCAACCTCTCCCTCTCCAAGCTTGCCTTGACCTCCTCCTCTCCACCTCCGGTGATCCCAAGCCATTGAAGTGCCCGCCATCTTCCCGGACTACCTCTAACCACACCTCTCACCCACATCTACCACCTTTAAAAATAATAGAAAGTTTTATTTGATAATAAGGTATTTCTGTGGTACTTGAAGCATTGCTTAAACTTGCTTCCTTTGTCACAGTGCTGGTAAAAGTTTTGTTGCTGAAATTTTAATGCTACGGAGAGTCTTGTCAGCTGGAAAAATGGCTCTTCTTGTACTTCCATATGTATCAATTTGCGCAGAAAAGGTTTGTAATCCCTTCAAAAGGTTTGTAATTCCCACCCCCCCTCTTCTGAATCAGTTTTTGATCCTAATCTATCTGTTGTACTTGAATCTATGGCTGGCTTGGAGCAGGCAGAACATCTGGAGGTCCTATTAGAACCACTTGGCAAGCATGTTCGCAGTTATTATGGAAACCAAGGTGGTGGGACTCTTCCAAAAGATACCTCTGTAGCTGTCTGTACAATTGAGAAGGCAAACTCTTTAATTAACAGATTTCTAGAAGAGGGTCGTCTGTCAGAACTTGGGATTATTGTGATAGATGAACTGCACATGGTAGCTGCCTTTGATGTAGTCTTTTTTAATTTTTAGTTATGTTCATCAATTACTTCTTGTTTCTTTTTTCAAAATTATTTTAATATTTTTATAATCGTAGTAGATTATAGAGATGGTTCTCATCCCTGGGGTTTGTTGACAGGTGGGTGATCAGAATAGGGGTTATCTGTTGGAGCTTATGTTGACAAAGCTTCGTTATGCAGCTGGTGAAGGCAATATATAATCATCTAGTGGAGAAAGTTCAGGTACAAGTAGTGGGAAGACTGATCCTGCTCGTGGTCTCCAAATTGTTGGTATGAGTGCAACCTTGCCAAATGTGGCTGCTGTTGCCAATTGGCTTCAAGTAAGTGTATAAAATCACATCCCCAAATAATCTTAATTGATTTGACTTAGGGTAAGAGGTGCAAACAAAAAGTTCGATGTATTTGTTGTATTTACTATATCTTATTTGTTACATAGTATCCAAGTCAAGTTGATTTAGTCTATTTGGTTTAATTTAACATTAGATCCGTTGTGCCGATTTTGTATGGTGCTGAATCTTAGGACAATGAAGTTATGGGAAGAGGATTTGTTTCAGTTACATTGTAAATGGGTGGGTATATGTAGATATGTGCTTTGTATATGATATAGTGAAATTATATTATGTTTCATGATGTCATTTGTTTTGGTCATAAATGCATTGAAAGTCAATAGGTGATGCCTTGTCATTTCATTGGGCTGAAAAACCATTATGCATTTGTAAGGTTATAATCTGGCATATAATTAGGGGGCACAATATGTTTAAAGGTGGCAAAACCAAGTACAGCCAAAAGTAAAATTTTGAACACTTGTAGCTTGAGGCAATGGTTCCCAGCTTTCATTCACCATTCCTATAATGTATCAGCATTTGATAATCCCAATCAGTTTGCAAGTCAACTGAATCATACCATGAAAAAAGTTCTATAATTATGTTATATGTTATATGTGTATGTGTCCTGCCTTTTTGGCGTTTGATAATTTTCTTCACTGATTTTGCTTGCAGGCTGCTTTGTACCAGACTGATTTCCGACCAGTTCCATTAGAGGAATACATTAAAGTTGGAAACACCATTTATAACAAAACAATGGACGTTGTTAGAACAATCTCAAAAACAGCTGAACTTGGTGGTAAAGATCCAGATCATATTGTTGAATTGTGCAATGAGGTTGGGACTCTCTTTTTCTGCGAAGTAAAGCTTTACTTGGCATAGAGTTGAAAGTTGATCAATTATTAACGCTTGAATAATATCAGGTTGTTCAAGAGGGTAATTCAGTGCTATTATTTTGCTCTAGTCGAAAAGGATGTGAATCAACTGCTAGGCATATTGCAAAATTCCTCAGAAAATTTCCTGTCAGTACCCGTAATGATAAAAGTGAGTTCTTTGATATCACGTCAGCTATAGATGCCTTGCGAAGATGTCCTGCGGGATTGGATCCTATTTTTGAAGAAACTCTCTCTTCTGGTGTTGCCTACCATCATGCTGGTCTAACTGTATGTTTTACCCATTATTTTACTACCTACATGTGTTCCTATATTCTAAATCTCTTTCTCATTATGGTCGTATACGCCTTTCTTACCTTTTATCATCTGAATTCATATCATGAATGCTGTTTTCTGATTTTTGTACAAGCAATTGGGTATGCTCTTATTGATTTGGAATGTTCATGCAGTGACCAATATCTGACCGGCAGGCAATTTTTTCTGAATTTTTTTGTTTGCTTTTTATTTAAACTCTAATTAGGTTGAAGAAAGAGAGATTGTTGAAACTTGCTATCGTAAAGGACTAGTACGTGTCTTAACTGCTACATCTACTTTGGCTGCTGGGGTTAACCTACCTGCCAGGAGAGTCATTTTTCGACAACCCTGGATTGGTCGTGATTTTATTGACGGGACAAGGTACAGACAGATGGCTGGTAGGGCTGGTCGGACTGGAATAGATACGAAGGGGGAGAGTGTATGTTTATTTACTTCGTGCATGATTATCACTTCCTCTTGACACTGTTTTGTTTCTTGGTATATGTATACGTCAATCTATTGTTTTCAGTTGGAATGCTGTTAGGTGCTCATATCGTTGTATCCTTGTTTTTATGTTGGCGGTGTTTGGGAAGCGTGGGTGGAGGCTATTTTAGCCTCAACAATAAAAAAAGCCTTTTAGCCCCTTTAGACCATTGATTTTTTTTTTTTTTTTTTTTTTTTTTTTTTAAAAAAAAGCCCGGCTGTGGGCTGTCACAGTGACAGTGTAGGACTGTCACTTTGACAGATTATTAAATTACAATTTTACCCCTTTAGATTAATTTTGAAAAATGTGAAGTTAGGGACAAATTTGTCATTTTAACTTCAAACATGCTGAGGTTGTAGAATTTGGGGGCTATGGAAGAAGAGAGGATTGAGGAGATCAGTGTTAGGTTGGTGGGCAGAACTGGTGGTGGGGATGGATCTGCCTCTGCTCATATAGTTATTCCCAAACACCCACGTTGTTCATGCAAGTTTTGGTCAAAGATACCTTTAATAATGCAGATTGGTTTTCTTAAACAAATCAGTATTCTAGCTTTTATACTGATTTTGATCATTTTTATGATTTCATCTAACCAGGTTCTACTTTGCAAACCAGAAGAGGTCAAAAGAATTATGGGAATTCTTAATGACAGCTGTCCACCGCTGCATTCTTGTCTTTCTGAAGGTAAGAATGGGATGACCCATGCAATCTTAGAAGTTGTCGCTGGTGGAATTGTTCAAACTGCCAATGATATTCATCGATATGTGAGGTGTACTCTTCTCAATTCTACAAAGCCATTTGAAGATGTAGTGAAGTCAGCACAGGATTCTCTCAGATGGTTATGCCACAGAAAATTTATTGAATGGAATGAAGACACTAAGTTATACAGCACCACACCTCTTGGACGTGCATCTTTTGGCAGTTCTCTCTGCCCTGAAGAATCACTTGTATATATTTACACCTCCATTCTTTCTTTTCATTTTTTTTCCTTCTTTTTCTTTAATATCATGTGCTTCTGGTATCAATGCATTATTGAACATACTGATCTTGAATAGATGAATTAAGGAATTGTTGACTTTAATTATGTATTTTTATATTTTATATATTTTAATTTTTTTCTAGATTGTACTGGATGACCTTTCAAGGGCTAGAGAAGGATTTGTGCTTGCATCTGATTTGCATTTAGTATACTTAGTTACACCCACCAACGTTGAAGTTGAGCCAGATTGGAAATTATACTATGAAAGATTCATGCAATTGTCTACTCTTGACCAGGTAAGCTTGTTTCTCATCACCATTGGGCTTCTGTAGTCCCAGTTGACATGTTCATTCTTGAATACTAATTGCTAAGTTTGCAGAATGTGTGGCTTAAGCTTCAGTTTTTCCTTTTAGTTCGTTTAATTTATTACAAGCAGACCTTACCTGACAGTAAGATTGGAGCTAGTCATATGGTTATATGGCATTGACAATTTCCAAGAAATGTTATGCATTTCTGCTTGTATCTCAGTGTATACATGTATGTACTTATGTATCGAGGCAAATAAGGCAAACCATAAGCAGTTGTCATTGAGGGTTAGTTGAGTTAATTTGTGTATGCATAAATGTATAGCTATGTCAATCAAAATTGTCTGCTGGTATTTTATTGTTTAAAATGATAAAGAGGGAATTGTCATGGACACATAATATCATTTGCAGGATGTTATGTCTGTCCCAATTTGGTGTTTTAATTCCTTTTTGTTTGAGTCCTGAGAAATGGGGTGCCAACACACGGAGTGCACATTTCAGAAACAGGGGGGCCTTATGGTGTGGCAACTGACATAAATGCTTTATGAACTCTCTTTCACTATTTTTTCCCTATGACTTGTCATTTGGTCTTGTAAGATAAGAAGTTTTGAATATAACAGAAATATATTCCTTCTTCCTCACATTTTCGGAGTTCTTCTTCCTCATAACTTCTAGTTTTGAAAACACCGTGAACTGGACAAATTGATTGTTTGGATCAGCGTTCCGATTTCAAATGTGGCAATTTTGTGATGATCTCTCTCTCTCTCTCTCTTGACCATCAGGTGATTTGATACTTGTCATGCCTTGCGTCCTGTTTGTTTATTTATTACAAATTTTTATACAAATGAATGTTTGTTAGTGTTAGTTTTCAGGGGCTTATCTCAGTTCTGAGGGAAATCTCCTATTCTAGTTTATATTGTAACTCGTCTTTTGGTCTAATAGTTTATGTGGTTATTGAGGTGCTTATTACTAATTATTTAATTTCATGAAATGCAGTCGGTTGGCAAACAAGTAGGAGTGCTAGAACCCTTTTTAATGCGTATGGCCCATGGTGCCCCACTGCGCACTTCAAACAGATCAAGGGATAATGCAAAAGGGTTGTTGGGCAGATCTGACTGCAGAGTTGGGATGGCAAACCAAAGTATGCTTTCCGATGAGCAAACACTTCGAGTGTGCAAGCGCTTCTATGTTGCTCTCATCTTGTCAAGACTTGTGCAGGTGAATGCCTTGTTATATGTGTCATGAATACTGGCCTGTTCAAGTTTCTTTCTTCTCCTCCACAGCAAAAACTACCTGCAAACACACACACTCAAAACGGATAAAGTTGAATTGCAAGATCCGAACTTCTGTCATCGCATCATTGCATGCCTTATCTGTGCTCAATAGAGACAATTTCTGTGTTGATACGCATATGCTTTTATTTGGTTGGAGATGTCCAATTTGCATATATTGACGTCTTCTTTTACTGTTCTCATTTTCAACCAGTCTGTTCATAGAAAGACATAATGCCATTACCTCTTTCAACCTTCAGTCCTATATATAAATTCATCTCCTATTGATGTGTTTGGTCTGATCTATTTAATTGCCTTATGTATGTGGAGTGGTATTAATTGCTTAACGAACTTGCATTTATTTACTTTTCGTGATATATTCTTTTCATATTGGTCTGAAGGAAGTACCTGTGGCTGAGGTTTGTGAAGCCTTTAAAGTGGCACGAGGCATGGTTCAGGCCTTACAAGAAAATGCTGGAAGGTTTGCTTCTATGGTTTCTGTGTTTTGTGAGAGGCTTGGTTGGCATGATCTGGAAGGTTTGGTTTCCAAATTCCAAAATCGTGTTTCATTTGGAGTCCGGGCAGAGATTGTAGAGCTTACCACCATTCCATATGTTAAGGTTGTATACATGAATCATTTAATATTTTTCTGTCTTTAAAATCTTTTTGTGAGGCTTGGAATTAATTGGAACTTATGACCTTAATAGCCAAACGGACTTCAATTGATGTTTACTTGAAAACTTCATTAGCAACCTAGTTAAGTTAATGATTTTCCTCATTGAAGAGATTATTTTTATTGTTTATTACTGCCAAGATTATCATTAATTCATTATTGTTATTTCTCCTTATTAGGGTTCCCGAGCTAGACAACTTTATAAAGCTGGGTTGCGCACACCTCAAGCAATTGGTGTAGCATCAATATCTGAAATTGTCAAGGCTCTTTTTGAATCTTCATCATGGGCTGCACAAGGTGAAATCTTGTGTGTGTGTGTGGACTTTTTTGGCATGAATTATTCAATTTAATGTTGTGAACATATAATAGCACAGTATGTAGTATCGCCAGACACATGCATTCTCTTGTGCTTCCTTTGCTTGCTTCTAAATATAGTATCATCATATGTTTTAGTTGTTGTTTCTTAGAGCTTTCACTTTTCCTCTGTTATATCATTATATTTTCTTCCTCCACTTCTTTTATTTGGACCACATTCCTCCAGTTCATATCCTCTGATTTTGACTATTTGCCTACATGACTATTGAAGATTCAGCACAACGGCGGATTCAATTGGGGGTAGCCAAGAAGATAAAGAATGGTGCACGCAAAATTGTTCTTGATAAAGCTGAAGAGGCAAGGGTTGCTGCCTTCACAGCTTTCAAATCTCTTGGACTTGATGTTCCCCAGTTACCTCAACCTGTATTAAAGGCTGCTGGTGATGCCACTCAAAAAGGGGCGACTACCTCTTCTGGGGAAGAGAGTACTAGTAGCTTTGTTGGTGTACAGCATACAGAGCATGTTTCAGCCAAGTCAACGTTGGTAAGATGCGAATTAAGACATTTGAAGGGGTGTGATTAGTTAGACTTTATCTTTTGTAAGACTAGAATAATCTCTATAAATAGTTAGTTTATTCATGTGCTTCTAGTGGTTTCTGAATTAATTTGTGTTTTTATTTTTCAGGTTAGAAATCAAAGTATAGTATATAATGTGTATTACATTTTTGAAATGCGCGTACAAAAATAATATTGATTATTCTTCAAATATGCCGAATCTTTTTAGTAATTAATCACACTTAAAAGATGTGATCTAAACGTTATTAATCACACTTAAAAGATGTGATCTAAATGTTATTAATCACACTTAAAATGTGTGATCTAAAGTTTATTATCACAGGTTTTATTAGTTTTTAATCACATTTAAAAAATGTGATCTAAATGTTTTTAATCACACTTAAAAGGTGTGATCTAAAGTTTATTATCACAC